AAATTTCCTCTCACAATAAATAGCAGCATTATCCTCTGACGCAGCTGGCATTAGTTGTAACTGTCGCAAAGCAGAAAAAGTGACTTATATAATTACACTAAATAAAGCTTTAAGTCAAACATACACACCACTACACCTCCAAAGCAAAACTCCAAGTGCTGAAATAACACACTTTTAAGCAAATTAAATTTACACGAAAATGACGTAGCTTTAGTTCTGCGCTTGCTCAACGCCACAGGGAGCGCACACACCGAGCACAACAATAACAAAAGACTTAAGCGACGAACTCGAATTCCGCTCATGTGCTCCTAAAATCCTAAAAATGAATATGCCGGCAAACAACGGGTAAGGAAATTCAAAACGGAATACATGTATAGCAGCAACAAAAATAAACGAAATAAATTAAAATAAGCAACAAGAAAAAGTAAAATGTCGAAATAAAGGGCAAAGTAGCGAATAACAACAGAATTAAAGGCGGTCAGTTTTAATCGGTAAAAACCAGAAGCAATTTCGGCATTCGATTAAGAAGATCAGAGGCRTAGATAACAATGGTAATGCGATTATTAATAAGTAGCCGAAGAGCGGGATTATAACATTTATTAAGAACATGATTTTATCGTTGGCTTTTYGCTTTGCCGCCTTTTAGCTTTGGCCTCTGGTCTTTGTGTTTTGCCGTGTGCCGTAATTTGTTGTTATTGTGCCACTACCAACACCAGCGTTATTTTAAACTTTTGTAAACAGTAGCCGTTATTTTTGCACATTGAAGRTTGCTGAACCAACTCGCTTGGTGTGCTTCTTCGAGGGCCATTGGTTAGMTCGTTGAAAATTTTTGCTTCACTAAGGTGAAGATAAACTTTATACATATGTATGTAGATCAAGTTGATTCTTTGGGCTATGAAATATTTTATAATAGAAARTAGTTGCAAAAATCCTTATTTTCTATGAATAATTCGCTTGAATTGAATCCACATATTTCATAGTTAGACCCAAACTTCAAAGGGCAATTGCATAGTGTCGGTACTTCGTTTATGAGAAATTTTAATTTTTGACGAATGATTTGGTATTTCGAAAAATTACCAAAAAAAAGTTTTAAGTGTTAACAAAAAAATATTTTTGATGTAAAAGAGCGCACTGACAGGCAAAATACCAATTCGGGAGCTCTCTATTGTAACAATAGTTAATAAAAAAAAATTGTTAAATTATTATCAAACATCTTATGCCTTCAAGTATAACCTGTCACATACATATGTATGAATATCTGTGATCAAGACAATTTTCTTCACAGACTTTAAAAACAAAATTTTGTATAAAATGTGTTTAAACTTTTGAGAGCCGATTACACTAAGTTCATCTTTTTTTTGTTTTTTTTTTTTTTTTTGCAAATAATCTCGTATCTTAGAAATATTCGCTGAAAGTTTGTAGATTTTAATGAAACTTATACAGCTTTTAGAATATATAACAAACTCGGGGCTGATCAAAGGATTTTTTTTTCAAAAATTTCGATTTTTTAAGACCATTGTTAATTGGATTTTTTCCCAAATATTTAGATAAAAATTTCCTGACCGCCATTTTGTTAATTTTTGAAAAAAAAACCCTTCGATCAGGCCCGGTTTTATCTATGTATAAAACTAATTTTTTTGTCCGATTAATTTTAGATGAATCTCCAAGAAGTTATGGTTGCCACTGCAAGTACCTTTAAAACAGAATTTTTTCAAAAATTTTATTCAAAAATAATATTTTTCCAAACAAATTTTCTAAAATATTTTTCAAAATTTTTTCCGCTTATTTTGTTTAAAGTTTTATTTTTCGTTGAAAAAGTTTCCAAATTTTTTTATTTTTTTAACGATACATATTTTAGATTTCGCATGTTATGTATTAAGCTCGAAAAGTCTAGGATATGTTCTTCGTACTATATTTACTATAATTTCTTGGATTTCAAACAAATTGCCTATTAAATATCTTGAGAAAGAAGAGAGGTTATGCGAATAGGTCAGCTTTTAGATTAGGTTTTAAGATATTAAGCAATTTCTTTGCCAGAGTCAAAATCAGAATTTTTCAAAAATTTTTATTTTTTAATTTTATTAACATTTTTTCCAAAAGTCTCATTTTTCAAAAATATTATTTGTCAGAAAAAATTTTAAAATTATTTTCCAAAAGTTTTTTTCCCGTTTATTTTTTCAAAAATTTTATTTTTCGTTCAAAAAATTTTCAATTGTTTTTCCTTTGAAACCATGTGTCTGTACTTTATTGTATTGAACCCGAAAAGTCTTAGATTTTAAACTTACTAATGCCATATAGATTCTTTGCCAGAGTGAATACATAGCTGTTAATAAAGAACAGAGTCCTAGAAATTTAGAAGTATGCGTATAAAATTATGTCCTTACAGTACAATAAAAGTAAAAGTTAAAATATTAAAGTTTTTATGGTATATGGCATAGGAGTAACAGACCCAAGATTTGTACCTTGGGAAAAACCGAAAGGCGCAACAATGACGGTTAAGCATCTGCAAAACGGCCTTGGGAGTTTCCAACGAAATTCTTATGAACAAACTCTTCGGGAGGCGTCATTTAAACCAAGTCAACAATATATGAGTATCTTACTTTCGATTGTATTCAATAAAATTACTCATAATGCTCTGTCGAATATCATCATATGTATGTATATTAGGGTGGATAAAAAAAAAATTCCAAAATTAATTAAGAAAGCAAAAAGTTAACGAAATCTATTACAAGGTCAACAAGGAGCTAAAAAGTATATAGTCAAACCGCCCAATCCAGTGACCATTAYCCAAACAAATTCGATCAAAAACACTACTTTAGACTTTTTTGATTCAGAGTGACAAATAAAGATTCGAGAAATATGTACAAAACATCTAAAATAAAACTTTCGAAATTTACTTTCAAGTTTTTTATACCCATTAAAGACCGTTAMTCTCTGCCTGAAAGTCTAAGCATTTTAATAACCTTTTAGTAAACATTCARAGGATCGTGCGAGGCGGTTCAGATCCTCCCAGTTGAAAAGGTWGGTCACATCCCTCAATTGTGGCAAATGTATACTTTGAATAAGSAAACATAAAACGCATACGCATAATTGCAACAAACAACAAAATCTTGTAACGGTCTTCGTCAGCACATTATAATATGCCAAAAACTCACAAATGCCGCCGCAAAGCGAAGCCAAAGAGTGTCAACTAAACAAACGGAAGAGAACAATTGCGATGGACCACAAAAGAACGCGAGTGCGAGTGCGAGCACGAGCATAGATGTTTGCATGTATGCACACATACACACACACTCGCGGTTTGCATTATTTTGCCGCGTTACTTCATTCACCGATCATTATTAGTTTTGTTATTGTTTACCATATTCTAAACAAAATTGCCGCCACTTGCACACAACTGACACACAAACAAACACTTTGCACTTTACGCAAACGAATGTAAACAAAAGAGCAAACGTAAATAAGAACAAAAACCTGCGCGCTCACACACACACACACACACGCCACACAATTACCTGCACGCCGCTGCAAACGCATGCAAACTGATGGTGGATGGATGGATGAAGGTGGATGCGACTTTCTTTGCTCGCCGCGCGGCAAGAGCGCACCACAATCCACTGATAAGACGACGCACTGGTAAACAAGTTGTTTGCCGAAGAGCGCGCACCTGTGTACAGTGCGAGAGCGAGAACGCCTGCCACTAATATAATGAAGAGAAACCAACTGCACTGCAATTTCACCGATCGAGTTGTAAATAACAACAACAACATACACACAAACGCATGCATTCTTGCCGCACTCGCAGCGAAGTCGCTGACGAAGACATCGCCGTCGCCGTCGCCGTCCCCGCCATCGCAAAATTGGGCCTACTGATATGCACGCTTGCTCTCCTTTGTGTGCATATTGTTGTTGTTCGTGCTGCTGCTGCTGATGTTGCTTGTCGGCCAGATCACACGATCACCAGCAGAAGTAAGCAGGCAATGGTGGCTGCGACGGCGGCAGCTTCTTTCACAGCTCGGCAACTTTACAAGACACAGACACATTTCGTTGCCGTTTATCTGCGTTCACCTTCAGCATTCCGCGACGAACGCTYAGTGCAAACGGACGTGTATTTCTCCGTCACGAAATTGTCACAAATAGTTGTCTGCAGATTTCAACYGACACCAAAAAAGCGTAAAGTGTTTAAGCGAAAAATTATTGAGTATTTGAAAATCACAATTATCATGCCATCAAAACAACAACAACAACAAAGTGTAAAGGTGGTTTATTGTGTTTAAAATTTTTTTAAGTTGTCATTTTGTACCAGCAGTGTTTGGTTTGATTAGAAAAAGAAAGGAAACCACCACAACAAAGTGTGCGCAAGCAACAAAWATAAGATTGTTTAGAAAAAATTGCATTTGAGTATATAAATTTTTTTATTAATTAATAATGTCAAATGTAAGCGCAGTGTAATTATCGCTACAAATTGAAATCGATAAAATGGCAAGGCCAAATTTCAACAACAACATACGCAAGTTGGCAACAACTTTTAACACAACAASAAAAAACATAAATATGTCCTCAACCTCTGCAACAAATCAACGGATTACGAGTAATCGCTGTACGAAGGTGAGTGTGTTTAACAAAACATCCGAAAAGATTGCAAATATTCTGGAAATYATTGAAAAGTATAATTGAAGGTGAATATTACTTTGCAGCGGTAAAACTTTTTTTCAAATCAATTTTTGAGAATTCAAATACAATTCACCACAACAATTTTTTATTTTTTTTTTTTTTGGCAATT